AGTAACCTTCAGGATCAAGTACTCCCTAAATAAATGATTCAAGAATGTACACATACTCTGCAGGTCTGGGTAGTCAGAGCCAAATGATTCTCTTAAGGGTTAAGATTGAACTACAGGGAATAAAAAGAAATCCTTTAATTTTCAGGTATTATTTCGTTGACAGTTTCATGGCACCTGAAAAAACAAGCTAGATCTGTCTGTTATTAGAACAAGAGCCTGCAACTCCCACTTCAAGATGTGTGAGGAAGGATGCAGCTCCTGATAGGCAATTAAGAGGGACAGGGAGTACATGTGTATTTCATCCTTACTTAGGAGTATGAAGCATGACCTTGCATTTTCTCAGACAGTCAGAGTCTATGGCTTTTTGGGTTTCGTACCTGATTTCAGCAGTCTTAGTCACTGTTTATATATGTCTGTATGAAGCATGGAATAACCAGTGGATTCTGATGTGTGCTGTCTGTTTTTCAGAAGTCTTTATCATACAAGAGAAAATAAAACACTGCAAGATAAGCATGCTGATTACCAGACAAATGGGGAAATTATATGCAAAGACTGTGGACAAGTGAGGAACATCTTATTTTCATACTCTTGTCTGTATTTATTTCTGTCTAATGCTCTTGCCTTTTTTTACCTGAAATGCACTTTCCTTCTACTTGCAGGCTTGGGGAAATATGATGGTTCACCGAGGTCTTGACCTGCCTTGTCTAAAGATCAGAAATTTTGTGGTTGTGTTTGCAGACAAGAAAACAACAAACAATATTTTTAAGAAATGGGGAGACCTGCCCATCAGGTTTCCTAGTTTTGATTATGCAGCTCATTGTCCTTCAAGTGATGAAGATTAAGGATTTGGAATGAAAATAAAAGCCCTTTTCAACTTCCCTCTGTTGATCAGAAGCTCCTGTGTCCTATAGAGCATGCTGCATCATAAGCACTGTGAAAGCTCCTGGACATAAGGAAACTGTCCTGAAGACAAAAAGCGAAACAAGAAAGGAGAAGGACAAAGTCACACAGCTGCTATCTGCACTCAGATTTGTACTCCTGGACAAAGATGGCAAATGCATTGCAGTCATGTGTATTTATGGAACAAACTCCTGTCTCTTTTCACTACAGGATGACAACACTGTCAAAAGTGTGTTAGATGACCTGTTGTCAATCCCAGAACATTGAAAACAGAGCTTAAGAGATACCATGGTCATTATTTTCTTCATGCTATTACCATTTTGAAGGTAAAGGGTCTAAAAAGAGGAGCCACGTAAAGAAGATGTCACCCCTTATTTCTGAATCACTGTTGCTACATCAGTGTTTTCATGACTGAATTCCTCCCTTCATAAATATAGCTGAAAGCTCATACAGTTTGACAGACTAAAATTAGGTTTCCCTTAGAAGACATTTCCAGAAATCAAGCCCTCAACCTGAAATTGATTATTTTACTGTCCAAGAAGCACATTGCCAAAGTGACTCTCTGTGTGTCGGTTTCATGGGAATGTTAGCCTGGCTACATAATGAGGTGTGTATTTTTTTCAATAAATTGCTATAACTAACATTTACCAACCGTGATACTGTTCATTCTCTTCCACTGGAAGTATTTAGACAGTAATAATACCATAGCCTCATCCTAGAAATTTAAAGGGTAATATTCTGACTGTAAAAATAGCATGTTTCTCCATATTTATCTCATGGATAGATTTCTCCTCCCATTTTGCAAGTAAGATATTGAAGAGTGGAAGGAAGTTTTATTTGTTGTTACAACAGTAACTGAATTAATTATTAGAATAGCCTCATGGGAAATCATCCAGATATCATTCATCCTCTGAGTCATCTCTGGATTTCTTTATTAATGAGTTGTTACAGGTAAATAAATGCAATATAATGCTCTGTACATAGCATTTTCAAGTATCTGAATTAGTTTATTCACTACTTTTAAATAAGTGTAAAACTCTGGTAAAAATACTACATCATTTCACAGATTTCTGCTGCGTCTTCAATCAAATAAATTTCCATGGTGAGTAGATTTTCTGAAATCTGAGCTTTTTATACTTCCCTTTACCGAAGCAATGAATGTAGATGCAGATGAATTTCTGCACACGTGCTACAGACCTGTGTGACAAACATACCTGGGCTTCTTGTACTTCACCTGGGTGCTGCTGTTACACTCCCAGTTCCTAGCGTGACTGCCACATTGTCACTAGAGCTTAAAGAGTGTTTGCACAATCTCACTTCAGCTAATGCATAATGAACCTCAAATCAATCCTGCTGGTGTGTAGGGTAATGAATTTCCAGTCAAGTTTTCTCTGAATGGGGTTGTAAAAGACACCCATATTGCCCATCCAGAGAGTGTGAATTTGTAAAAAACAAGCTAAATTGCTGTATTTTATCTTCTGCTTATCTCTGCTTTTATTGCCTTTAGGGACCCAATGTCCTCCAGGGAGTGTGACAAATCCTGATTGTATTTACTACTTACAGTTTTTATTAGTTCACAAATGTGGAAAGAAGAAAGTCATTTGGGGATTTGTCTAGCTATGTGTATGGCTGCTTAAGAACTGGATCAACCTCAGTTGTATGTTCATTGCCGTGTCTCCTTTTGGTCTGGTGTCATGCACGACCTACATCTGTAAATCTGCATTTCCTCACGTGTGAACAGCAGATACCTCAGTAACCTTCGAGTAGTTGCATAACTGCTTGAATAGCTGCTGGCCAAACTGAGTGTGTTTTCTGTTCCATAATTTGTCCATTTCACCAAGTGACTAACCCTCTTCCTACCCTTCCTACACTTTTATTTCTCTTACATTATGGGTTCCTCATGTTGCAGAAGTTAGGAAGAGTTCGGCTTTTGAAAGAATTGCTGTTTGCTTCTTCACTGGTGCTGGTCTAAACAGTCCAGAGAAGGGAGTTCAGGAATTAGCAGCAGTTCTGCAAAGCTTGTAAATGTCATTCTCTGACAGGGAATTTTTTTCTTCCAATCTGCAGCCATTGTGAATCTTACTTAAACTCACGCCTAAATAATTTGATTCCTGAAGTAGACAAATACATGGTATGCAGCATAAAGTCATTTTGTAAAGCCTTTTAGATCATGTGAGATTGAATCATTTCCTTTGAAGCATTCTCTAAATATGCATTCATTAGAAGAAGCTGCATATTTGGAATGGAAAACTAGCCTGATCAAAAACCTCCATTTGCAATTTTGTGATGTTCTGGTTGTCAGAAATAACCAATGTTGGTAGGAAAAAATGTATTTCTCTAAACCATCCTATTGAAAATACAAACAGCATTAATTATGGAATGCTAGGAAATAAGTAGCAGTTTGGAAATATGAATATGAAGCACGAGTTACAAGGGGAAAAATTCTTTTGTCACAATTCTTTTCTGTTATGGAAATTTTGAGTAGCTGCAGTTTTATCTTGTTAAGAAAACCACTGGTTTTGAGCTGAGTTCTGCCCTTATTAGACAGTGTATTTTAGCATAACAAACAATATACATGAACAATGTATATGCAAAAAATGTATATACAAACATTGTATAAACAAATATATACATAAAGAATGTATTTTAGCCTTCTCAGTCTTTTTGTCCTGCATGTCCTACATGACCAACATGGATCTTGTTCAGAAACCTCATCTTGTTTAACTTGTAATTTATTGTTGTGACAAGAACTGCAGAGAGAGGGGAACTGAATTTTTATGAGAAAATGAGGCATGTTTCATATCATTGTTTTTTCCACACGATAAATTTTAATATTTTCAAGAAATTCTCTCTCCAAGTCTAATGCAATGAACATTGCCAAAATACTGCCCAGATCAGTTCTGCCTCACCAAGTCTGGTGTAACAGTTGGGATTCAAATTCCAGCCCATAGTGTTAAGCTGAGGTGGTAACTTGGCCACTTGAGGGGCAATAAATTAGATGTTTATTTATTTATTATGATACTCTGTAATAAATTCTTCATAGTTAGCCCAAGTTCTGGTGGAAAATTTGGTGTGTCTGTGTCTGTGCTCCTGTGTGTATGCCCATGTGTATGTATTGTCTATGTCCGGGTGTGTCCCTCCCTGTGTGTCCCTGTCCCCGTGTGTTTGTCCCTGTCCCTGTGTGTTTTCCATGTCTTCGTGTGTGTCCGTGTGTGTGTCCCTGTCCCCGTGTGTGTGTCCCTGTCCCCGTGTGTGTGTCCCTGTCCCCATGTGTGTCCCCGTGTGTGTCTCTGTCCCCATGTGTGTATCCCTG